ATAAAAGACATTGGTAGGAGTAGTGTACAGACTCCCAAACAGTAGCCACAATGTAGGAAAGGCTAGAAATCAACAAATAGGAGCGTACAAAAAGAACAGAGCAGTAATTATGGGTGACTATGCTGTCTTGTTAACAGGGTTAATCAAATTGTAGGGGCCAGCTCCGATAAACAGAGGATTGACCATCAATCATACAATAATAAAGCAGATATAAGATAAAAAGGCAACAAAAATGCCTTCATTTTAACATCAGGGATAACGCTGATTAAATAAATATCAAATTAAATCAATTATAGCCCCACTCCAGGACTTGACCATAAAGACCAAGGCTGGCCTGCAGACGACAAATGCTGGAGATCACAGTGGATCAGACAGCATCCAGGGAGCGAAAGCAAGCTAATGTTTTGAATCTAGGTAACTCTTCAGTAGAGCTGAAGTGAAGTGTGGAGGAGGGTAGCATTTATGATATAGATTGGGGGTGGTGGTGGAGAAGAGATGTTGATTTAGTGATTGGAATGTGAGAACAGCAGAACAATGGTGTGTCTCCTGCCAGACTTAAGGTGACAGTAACTGGGATGGGGGAGGGCAGGACATGATAACAAACTATAAAAGAAATTGAAGAAATGGTTCACAATTTGAAGGTGCTGAAATCCATATTAAGTCCAGAAAACTGAAAAGTGCCTAGTCTGAAGTTTTTCCTTTAGTTTGCGCTGTGGTTCGCTGGAACACTGCAGCATGCCGAGGACAGACAAGTGGGCATGCGAGCAGGACACTGTTAAAATGACTGTCTATGGGATGGTCAGGGTCCTACTTGCGCACAGACAGGATGTGTTCCACAAAGCGATCACCCAGTCTGCATTTGGTTTCTGCAATGTAGAGTAGGCCACATTTGGGTGCAGTGAATACAGTACACAAGATTTGAGGAGGTACAGGTGAAATTCTGTTTCACCTGGAAAGATTGTTTAAGCCCTTGGAGGGTGAGCAAGGAGGATGTGAAGGGGCAGGTGTTGCACTCTCTGCAGTTGCATGGGAAGATGCCATGGAGAGGGTGGGGCGGTGTTGGTAGTTGTGGAATGGACTAGGGTGTCCTGGAGGGAACGATCCCTGCGAAATGTAGCCAGGGAGTAAGGGGAAGATGTGTTTGACGGTGGCGTTTTGCTGGAGTTGTCTGAAATGGGAGAGAAATGATCCTTTGAATGCAGAGGCTGGTGGGATGGAAAGCAAGGACAAGGGGAACCCGATCACGCTGTTGAGTGGTGGGAAGGGGCAAGGGCGGAAGCACGGGTGATAGGTCGGATGCGGTTGAGGGCCCTGTCAACCACAGTAGGTGGCTGATAATGAATAATTATTGTCTTTCCATGCCAGTTGATCTTGTAAATTGTCAAAAGCTGTCGTTGTAAGGAAAGGGTGCCTAATTTTTGTGATGCCCATCTCTCCTACCTCCTCTTCCTATCACCTAATTATGTAACATATTGCTTGTTTGCTATTCCTAATTCTGCTGTCACTTCTGCTATTTTTACAAGCTTGACTTACTTGTTGACTAACTAAGTTAAACTCTTCTCTATCTGTTTTCCCAATGAGTTACTATTTAATACTTTTGCTATCTTACCATCTCCAGACAGTTATTCCAATTCACTTTGACAATCCACAGATTTGTTTTCAATCATCAACAATGTAAAGGAAGGTATCATCTCAACAGTGTTGTTGAGTGGCTCTTAAACACCAATAGCTTGCTCAGATCTCAGTTTCAGACATCATTACAACCTTGGGTCAAACACAGACCAAAGAGCAGAGTAATTGGACCAGCTACATAATTACTGTGACTCCAAGAGTATGTCAGAGGCTGGGCATTCTACAATGCAAATCTCATTTCATGTTGCCCAAAATCTGTCTACTATCCACAAGGTATAAGTCAGATGGAATGCTCCCAACTTACGGGAATTAATACAGCTGGATTTACACTCAAGCTTGAGACCATTCAGAACACGTCACCTTAACGATTCACTCCCTCGACCGTGACTGGACAGTGGTAGTAGTGTGTATTATCTTGATAAACTAGTGCAGCAATTCACCAAGGTTATTTTGAGGAGACATACCATCCAAAAAGACAACAATATATCAGACGCATGTGAGCATTAGGGATGGATAATAAATGTTGACCTTGCCAGTGACATCCAAATCATATTCTGACTCTGTTGCCTCACATCACATCCTACTTTCCAGTCACTCATGGTCTTGCTGATCTAAATCCGGTCCCCTAGTTGTACTTGTTATAAATTCTTATCTTTGCAGTTGAATCCCTTAAGCATTTCACTATCACCCTCTCTCCAAACTTTGTGTTTCTGTGACTCTAATTTCTTTCACTCTCCCTTCTGAAACTTCATTACATCTTCAGCCATTTTAGGTCAAAAATCTGAAATTCTTTTACTAAATATAACTCACTTTTTAGATATTCTCCTCTTTCAGGAACATCTATTAAACAGACCATTTCCAACTAACTTTCAGTCTCCTCTCCTAATAACTCCTTTGGCTCAGGTTCATAAATATGAAGTACCATAGAGGTGTTTTTCCATGTAAGGAACTCCAACTGCTCAGTGTCCATGCATTTAGCTGTGGGTTATATGATTTAGTATGCAAAGTATAAAAAGGAAAAATTATTGAAACCTGGAACTGACATGTACTGGTCTGATGCATCTTGTATATCTGAAAACAGACCTCCAGTTCTGATCACTCTGTTCATTTTCCAGTTTAACTTTTTCTTGATTTACCCTCAAGCTATTTTAAGAAGTAGGTTATTTGCAAAATACAGCACAGAAACCAAACATTCAACATACAAACTTACAAATTAGGAGCAAAAGGCCATTTAGCCCCTTGAGCTTGTTCTGCTATTTAATTACTGATCTGATGTTTTGAAGTCTCTGTTCTCATCTACACCCGATGACCTTAAATTTTCATTAGAGAAGGGAATCAATCTAATCAGCCTCAAAAATATTCAACGATCCCACCTCTACTGCCTTCGGAGGTAGGGTGTTCCAAAGTTGCTCAATTCTCTGAAATAAAAGATTTCTCTTCACCTTTGACTGGAAGAGGTGACTACAAGTTTTTATACGATGTCCCCTAGTTCTGCAGTCGCCCACAAAAGGGAACATCATTTGCACATCCACCTGATCAAGACCATTAGCGATAGAAACATAGAAGATAGGAGCAGAAATAGAGTATTCAACCTCTCAAGCTTGTTCCACCATTCAATATGATTGTGACTGGTCATTGAGCTCACTACTCTAATCCTGCCCTTCCCCTATATCCCCTGATCCGTTTAGCCACAAGAGCTACATCTACTCCTGGCCTCAACCATTTTCTGATGTGGTGAATTCCACAGGCCCATCCTTCTCTGGGTGAAGAAATTTCTCCTCGTCTCAGAACTAAAAGGTTTACCCCATATTCTTAAACTATAACCCCTGGTTCTGGACTCCCCCCATCATCAAGAATATCCTAGTACTAGGGGTCCTAGTACTGATCCCTGTGGTACCCTCCTCATCACTGCCAGCCATTCTGCTCCTATGATGCTGCTTGGCCTGCTGTGTTCATCCAGCCCTGCACCTTGTTGTCTCGGATTCTCCAGCGTCTGCAGTTCCTACTATCTCTCATTTATTCTACTGTTTGTTTCCTATCTGCTAACTAATTTTCTATCCATCTCAATGCACAGCCTTCAATCTCATGCACTTTGATTTTCCTCATCATTTACGAGACTTTATTGAAAGCCTTCGGAAAGTCCAAATAAACCGCATCCACTGACTTTCCCTTATCAATTATACCAGTTACAGCCTCAGAGAATTCCAGTAGATTTATTAAACATTGTTTTCCTTTTTTTGTAATCCATGCTGACTGTGTCTGGTTCCACCATTGTTTTCTAAGTTCTCTGTTAAAAAATCATTGATAATGGACTCTAGTATCTTCCTCAATACTGATGTCAGACTGAGATAACAAGGTGTAGAGCTGGATGTACACAGCAGGCCAAGCAGCATCAGAGGAGCAGGAA